ATAGATCTAGGTAGGTTACTTGGCGCGTTACTAACGCGTTAAGGCGGGCGACACGAGATGCTAGGCGTGTTTAGGTGATGACTAAGCTTAAAAAAATCTAGGGCTTAACACTAAGAAAGTTTTGTAAACTTGTTTCGACAGCTAGATTAAAGCTTTAACTACGAAAAACTAGCCGCCTACTAGATAGTACTAAGCCGATCAAGCTGACCAAGCCAAAAACGGTCCCTAGCTTGGCTTGCTAACAAATTGCATGGCTTGGCTTGGCTTGTTCGTCGGCTTGTTTACCAAGCCGATTGAGCAAGCTGAGCAAGCCGGCTTGTTCGTTGAGAAGTATGCTGCTGGGGAAAGGAGTGATAGAAGGAAGGAAGCGACTAGGCCAGCGGCCTAGTCATGTGACCTAGGACTCAGCCCGTTACAGTTACTATACGGTAGTGCGAACATATCTTGCCAGCCTTAGCGTCCCACCGGAAACGTACAAGATCCAGCGCGTACTTAGCGCCTCCAAGTCATACTTAGTCAACGACCCATGCGAGACATGTCTCCTCTGCGATGCCATCGTAATTACTGGTAGCATCCTCTAAGCCAACGATCTTGCCGTCTGGAAGGTCATCTAAGGCAAGGGCGATATCCACATTGGCCTTTATCAGCGACTGTAACGTCATGGATTGACCCAAACTCCTTGATCCTTGTTCGCTCCTTTGAAACCCCCTACCTCCAGGCGACTGCCTAGAGTCCCACTAGGATTCAGCAAACCTTGGTACCAACACTATAACTTTGTAAAAATGATGCTGTAGAGCCTTACATAAAAGCTATAACTACAGGATACCTCGGAGTTATAGTAGTATATTATTGTTCCTCACTTTTACTACTTGCGTTAATTTGGTACTGCAGCTTTGCCTTCTATATCACAAACAAAGTGACGTCTCGTTGACAGAGAACGAAAGCATGTACGAGGCACAGTCTGCCAAAGACTGTAGGCTAAATGAGTCCGTGTCAGAAGTCAATGATTAACGCGCCCGTTGCACATTATCTCAGGCCTGGCCTGGTAACTGATCGAAAAACACATCTCTATAGAGGTGGGCGACATGCAGTGCGTAGGGATGCTGCTGCTGACACTGAGTGTATAGGCAAGACTGTGCACAAATGCCGGGGTGCTGCAAGTAACTCAGCAGAGGAAGTTCTAAATGCTATACCAATCTTCTTGTCGGAAAGGGCATGGGAAGTTGAGAGAGGTGATGCTCTTATGTCATTTTTAGCTACAGGTGTGTTTTGACAGCGATCAGTCACGATGCCGAAGCGCTTCTAACGAATATGCTATATATACATGAAATGTAAACTAGAAGCTATTAAGCCATCAGTCCCGCAAAATTCTGTTATCAATTCTTCACCTCTAATTATCAAAGAGCGCATTTGTAACGTGCATTGCTGTGTTGGTAGACAGAGTCTTAAGCAAAGATTCGTACCTCTTTATAAACGTCTCTGCATCTTGGAGTGTATAGCATGAACTCTGTAACTTTACTGTGAGAAGAGGGTCGCGGGATGGATCGTCTGCGATTTCAAGGCAAACGTCATGCGCCGTACGTTCTCGAGTTACGATGACCTTGACGATAGTTGCCTCTCCAAGCTTGCCACTGTCAGCGCGTTCTCCTTGCCTGTAGTCGAAGACAGCCTGTACAAGTGGCTCATGGGTCATTTGTCGAGTCGGTAGAGCGTCAGGTCCAGCGAGGCCAAGTTCCTCGAGTAGCAAACCGTAGGGAACCGCTGAATGAAGCATTGCCTTGCGCACGTGATCCTTGGTTTCGGAGACTACCTCCTCGAAAGTGGTATCAGAGGGCTGATTCATGCGAATAGGAAGCATGTTGGCAAAGAATCCCATAGTAGACATGTCATCGATGCTTGACCGATTCGTGTCTGCTAGACCTACGACCAAATCATCTTGGCCAGCTAAAGCTGCAAGCAGAGCTTTGTACGCAGCGAGATAGAAATGCATCGGGGTTGCCTTTAGGCGACGAGCCGCTTCCTTGATACGTTGCGCTATCGCACTGCTTAGGCGCAAGGTGGCTGTGTGTTGCTGCCATGTCAGAGCCTCCGATCGCTGGGTTTTGGCATGTGGAAGCTGCAGCAGCGGTAAAACAGCTGGCATCGATGCATACATGATCTTCCAGTACGAAATAGCCGCATCTAGTCGCCCATTTCTCCTATCCGATCGCTGGCGTACAGCAAAGTCGGCATACTGCGGTGGTAGTTGTAGCTGAGCACCATCGTATAGTCTTGCCAGCTCAACGAAGAAATTGTCGGTAGTGGATCCATCTCCGGTTAAGCGATGGTAAGCAATAACGAATAGATGCCGGTCCGTAGCCCAGTGGAAGTCGACTACTTTCAGTGCCTCGCCTGCATCAAGATCATACTTCTCTGCTCGCAGTTGCGTGAGAGCAGATTCAGCTGCGTTTTGATCTACCACCTCCACAGACCGGAAACTTGTAGTCGGACTTTTCAAAACCATCTGGACAGCCTCTCCACCTTGTTCCGAGCATCGGATAGCCGTGCGAAAGACTTCGTGTCGATTGAAAGAAGCAAGGACTGCCCTGGAAAGTTTCTCTAAATCAAGCGTGCCTTCTAGGAATAGGCCCACAGTATTGTGGAATATCGTTGGATCGTCAGCCAACTGCTGCTGGATTCTCCAGGTGTTTTGCTGGATCAGTGAAAGAGGCGCGCAGCGGACAACGGTAGGGTCCTCGTCGTTGGACGTGGGAATGGAAATGGGTGTATCTGTACCTGAACCCGATTTGGAAATATTGTCGGATTGAACACTGTCGTTATCGGTCGCATGGTCTGCAACGCCTGCAACCTGAGGCATGGCACTCGGTGGCAATCTACTGGCTGCCTCTTCGGCAAGCTGTGCGACCGATGCGCCACCAAGAACCTTCAATATCGGAACATCGAGGGTGAGTTGGTTTGAGAACCTAAAGAAACGTCAATATGCTGTAAAATTGTCCATAAACAGCTATCCTCACCAAGAAGCAACGGTGATGGCACCGAGCGAATCCACACCTTGGTCGATCAAGGGAGAGTCGGGATCGATTTGCTCTCCGTCAGCAAGATGTAAGGTGCCCCGCAGTCTGTCGCAGAGACCCACTGGAAACCATTAATAACTAATATGCAATATGGTAACGCGAGTACGGGTGCAAGGGGGTTCTTACCGATGATCGCCTGGCGAACTTCATCCAGTGTTGTAGCTACGAGCAGCTTCTCCTTGACCGATGTCTTCGAGCTCGAGTGGGTTGTCTCGCGCTTCTCCGGGACTTTGAGGTTCCCGAAACGAGGATCTGTGTAGAACACAAGAGTATCTTTATATCTGAGATGAAGTTCAGGAATACCAGTACCAATGTCAATCTCGGACATCTTAACCAGATCTGTATCTCCGTTTCGAGGTGTCGATGACGGCCTTCCAGAAACCACAGCCTCGGCAACAAGTGTACAAAACTCGACCTCTCCAAGAGGATCCATATCAGATACAGACTGAAGGTCAAACTTCTCCTCGCGTGTAGCCAAGTAACCGATGCCCATCACAGCACCAATGTGGATAGCAGACGCCTGGAAGTAAAGAGATTGAGCGTTAGTCGTCTTCTTCTACAATAGGTGAACAACGTGTGGCCACTTACGGCTAGTCCCATCAAGCGCCTCTTCTGAGCAAAAGCCAGTAGGAATGCATTCGCGGCATTGTAGTTGGCCTGTCCAGGATTGCCTCCCGTAGTGGCTGCGGAAGAACACATGACAAAAAAGTCAAGTGGGTTATCGACTGGACTAGAAAAGCGCTCATGTAAAAGTTTTGCTCCAGTCACCTTTGCGTTCAGCACTGGGTGCATCATTGATATGTCCATGTTTCTGAGAACAGTATCATGGAGTACCAGAGGTCCGTAAACAATACCACCAATAGGTGGCAACTTTTCACGGAGTTGGGCGAGGCCTGCATCCACGCTCGCTTTCTTAGAGATGTCCCTATTGCAGCTAATTAGTTACCCGTTGGGACAAAAGCGCGTTGAGGCCGCAGCCCTTTCTACAGATAAAATATTCACTTACATCGGCAGTACGGTGATATGCCCCCCAAGTTTCTCAATTTTTTTGACCCACTTGGACTCGGGGTTTTGAGGGTTGCGGCTGGAGAGCACGACGTAACGGGCGCCTTTCGTGACCATCCAACGACTAAGAGCACGGCCAGTGGATCCAGCAAGACCAACAAGAAGATAAGTCTTGTTCTTTCTAAACAAGTTGCCTTGGTCGATTGGCCGAATGCGAGCGGCAACAGGGCCGTCAGTCTTCCAATTAATGACCGTCAAAAGATCAATGCCCTTCTTCATTGCCAATTCCAAAGACATGAGATCTACGACTGATGACTCCGATATTGATGTGTCTTGCAGAGCTTGACATGCCACATCCTCCAGCGCAGCAAGTATTCTTTTGGCGCCAAGCTTGGCGTGCTCGTCAGCTTCGTGCTCTTGGTAGACGATCAATGAGGGATGGTCTTGGCAGAATTGGCTCAAGCGGAATATGGAAGAGCTTAGAGGAAAATGGGAGGATATGTGCCGGCTTAACGACTCGAGATTCTGATCATCAGACAAGTCGTATAATACCGAAGCATGGCTCGGCAGCAATTCCTTGAGGCTCTCAGCAGTGGCATTGGAATGCACTTGTGTCCATATGAGACCAAGAGACTCAGATGAGGCAGGTTCTGGTTGCGTGGACAAAATATGAATGGAGGCAGTTTGGCGTTGCGCAGCTGCACGCCCCAATGCAGCAACGGCGCATATTGGTGGTTCTAAGATGACGACTGACGCGCCTGGAATCAAATTAGAGATTATATCATGCGCGAGAAGGCTTGCTGCAAGCTGAGACAAAACATCCGGCGTGGCATAGCAGGTTTCTGGTAGGTCGAATACCATGGAGGAAGGGACGGTGACGACTGATGCGTTTATTTGGGAGACAGCAACAACTGTTCTCTCCGACCCCTTAACGAAACCGAGAATTAGATGCAAGTATCCCAGATTTGCGATGCGCACAGCATTCATGAGAGAGTACTGAGCCACCACGACAAGGTGGCCAGGCTGGACATCCGAGAGTGTGTCTCTGGTAGATTCGATTTGCAGGTCCTTGTCTGGAAGCCGTAAAGATACCGGGATTCTTTCTGCCATTACATGAGAATAGATCTTGCGACGTCCCGAAGCCATCCGTTCATTACGGGGTATGTCATGTTTGACACGGGGCACTAAGAGGCAGCCCTTGCACATGTAAATCTCTGGTTCGTATGTCCACAAAACATCTTCGTTTGGGCTACTTGGACTAGACCATTCTTCGAGACGGAGAAGCTGTTCGCATAGAGTTGTGGCATCAATGTTGTTCGCATTGTCCACATCCAGAGCCTGAACGCTGAGTTCGGGATACTCGTTGCGGACAGTGCGGAGGAAGCCAATTGTCATAGCTTGGTGGGGGTTGGCACTCCAAGCATTCTCCGTAATCCACAAAACGTTAGACGCTTGGGCAAACATCGACTTGACTGACTCCAATTTCGGTTCGTCAATGTCAGAGAATAATTCCTCGTCAAGTTCTGAGAGAACGAGGAAGGTGGGTTTGTTCTCGAATGTTTTGTTTCGAATGTCTTTCAAGCTGTCTATCTTGAGTGGGTTGCGATGAGGCAAGATGGTGCTGACGGCTTCCAAGATGCGAGACGACTTAGAGTTTCTTCCACCAACAACAACAAGGGGCGCTGACGCCGACAACTGCAGCGCGACAGCCAAAGGCTCGTATAGCCTGGTGACCTTTGGAGTCACGGCGCGTGTGGTAAAGAGTGAGTTTGGGAAGATGTGGCCGTCCCGATCCAGCGTGCGGCATTCAACGCCGGAGAAGCCGTTCCGCTTGAAGATGGCGTCCCACTCATCAATTGTGGCGAAAGGATCCAAGACACGTCCTTCATCACGGCCCGCCCACCAATCGGGAAACAGGCCGAACAAATAACCAACACGAGTGTGGTCCTTATGAGTGGCCTCGAGTATGACCGCATAGCCACCGGGGCGGAGAAGATATCTCACGTTCTTCATAGTCTCATCCAAGTTTGGCGTGGCATGAAGAACAGACGATGCGAGAACAAGATCGTAGGAGTGCGCCTTGAATCCTTGGGCCTCGGGGCTCTGTGAGATGTCCAGTTTTTGAAACTCCATGCGGTCTTCGTGAGCGGTGAACTCTTGGCGAGCCTTTTCGAAAAAGGCGGGAGAAATGTCCGTAAAAGTGTAGCTGTTGAATCCGAGCTGCGGAATGGACAGAATAGACCTGGTTGCACCAGCAGTACCACCACCTGGACTCATGATTAGCATCGTATGTCTTGTTTAGTTGTCCAAGATCACTGCAACTTACCAACTTCTAGGATATCCATCGATTGGAAGCGATGGGCAATTTGACCGACGATCTGCTTTCCATAACCCCAGCCCGGCCCAGTAGACAAACGACTGGTGTAGAACTCGGTAAGAAGGCCATCTTCGTTCATCCACGAGAAGGGGTTACTGTTCTCGCGAATCGTGGAAATTGCGTTCTGGTTTACCCTATGAGCAAAGTCGTTACGTGGGGGATGGGTACCAGTTCCTTTGAGATTAGCAGAGATGTCAACAAGCAAGTCAAGCTGGCTTGATTCTTATCGATTGCAGATCACAGACAATATAGAGGCTCGTGCACAGTGGCACGTCCCAGAGAATGGTCTGTGATCTGCAATCGATAAGAATCAAGCCAGCTTGACTTGCTTGTTGACATCTCTGGAGATTAGGGTGTCAGTATATTTCTTGGATGTGGATCAAAGTATCCAAGGGGACTTACTCCTGGCAAAGCCGCTCAATGTACTCTGGCGTGTCGTTTTCCCAAGCTTTCTCGTACCACCGATGCCGCTTTGCCGCAACATCCGCCATTACGTTGTCATACCAATGGATGTAACTTTTTTGTGGGGCCGTTGCGTTGGCACGGTCTTCAGCAGTAAGATCGGCCAAGAATTTCTTAATGTAAGAATACACAATACGCTCTATGATGGGCATAATTCGCTTGTCTTCCTCTGTTGCCCACAGCTCCGGATCATCCAGGAGCTTGTCTGGTAAGAAAGGGCCCCAAAAGGTTGTGGTGAAGGCTCGATGGTCTTCGGACGCCGTTGGTGGCGAAAGCGGCTTTAAGACTAGGTTTTCGACGCTGAATATGGGAATTCCGTCAGCGCTATCGTCGGTCGTATCGACACAACCGGCAAAGAAGTCTCCCTTGTCATATGTATTGGTAGTGCTAAAGTGCAGTTTGTTGGACGCGATAGGAGCCGTCTTTGAAACCTCGGGTGCGACCGCTATGCGGTCAACGTGCACAGGGACGTACAAAGATCGTAATCTTTTATCACCCGGGTGGGAATATGCGCCCATGATCGTCTGGAACGAAAGATCCAACGTTGCTGGATGTAGCAACAATGGATCTGGTCCATCATTTAGTCTGAAGTTTGGCAGAGTACCAACAGACTTGCCGTCTGCGCGCCTCATCTCAGAGATGCATCGGTAGGACCCCTCATAGCAATATCCAAGCGCATCGAGCTCACGGTAGAAATAGTCAATGTCGAGATCGTTCATGTGAGGATGATCTGCGCTGACTGATGGCAAAACGCTGGGTGATGGAAGTCCCAACGTGACGACAACCCTACCTTGAGCTGAAGTTGAGAGATTTGCTTCCTTGCTCAGACAGGAATCAATTGTGAAGCCAAGGGTGATCCGTGTCGCGTTTGACGATTCAGCGAGGACTTTGGCGGTTGTAACAACCTCTGCGGCGCTTGTCTCATCCTCGAAGATGATTGCCTTGTCGATGCTCGTGTTGAAAACTTCCACGAGCTGCACGGGTCGATTTTCGGCTGCAATGATTCCAGCCTCCATGGCCATGATGATGAAGCCCGCCGCTGGAAATAACGCTTGGCCCTGAAGACCATGCCCTTGCATCCAATCATGGTCTTTGACTCTGAACATGTTCCTCCATTGTAAGACTGAGGAGGTAGAAAACGCTGTCGGTGAGCCTAGAAGGAGGTGGGGACGCGGCCCATGGAGGAAGTTTTTCACTGTCCTCGATTCAGACCAGTAAACCTTGGAATGATCCCAAGGATACATTGGGAGTAACTTGCTGATGTTCCTCGGCTTTTTACCACACACCGTGGAGATGTACGTCTCCACGTCAGCTGGCTCGAGTATTGTAAAGCGTTGCCACAGGTATCCAAGAGCCTCAGCGAAAGCAGCCAGATCAGCCTCTTCTCGTCGCATACAACCTGTGTAGGGAAAATCATCGAAGCCAATTCCCTTTAATGTTGAAAGCGCAGGTGCTTTTAGCGCAGGATGGCAGCCCACCTCGACCGCAACGTTAGGTTGATGCACCATTGCAGCTTCTTCAAGGGCCTGCATGAACATCACCGGGTTGAGTAAATTTTCTGTCCAGTAGTCGGCCGTTACATTGTTGGCGCTCATTTTCGTGCCTGTATGCACGGAAGAATACCAAGCGACCGCGGTCTCAGGAATACCGTCAGCAACTGCGCATCCACAAGCTACCAGAGCATCCTTATAGGGCGTTGCGCAGGGTTGCATGTGGTGAGAATGATAGGCCTTGTCGACTCTGAGCACCCGACTGAACTTGGACTCATCTGCGAGGATATCCTGGACCTGCAGGATGGACTCCTTGTCGCCAGCAATAGTGGTGCTGTCAGGTGCGTTGCTGGCTGCAACGCAGATGCAGCCCTCGAACGCTTCAAGTTCACATAGCTCTTGCGCATCTTCAAAGGAGATGCCTGCTGCCATCATGGCACCCTCGCCTCGATCTAGGCCTGCAAATTGTGATGCCAGGCCACGGAGATAAGCAACCCGAATGGCCTGAGACGCACTTATCAGCCCAGTCGCATAAGCACACGCGATCTCTCCAGAACTGTGCCCAACGACAGTAGTGAACTTAATATCTGCCGCCGCCAGCATTTGAACAAGGACTATTTGTGTAGCACAGCAAAGTGGTTGGGAGTAAGCAGCCTGCAATACGTTTGACGAGTCTTCTTCGAGCAGAAATTGGTCGTGAAGAGTCCAAGAAGGACGGTATTCCGATGGCAATGCCTGCAGCGAATGGTCGAGGTCAGCAACTATTTCCTGCACGTAGGGCAATGTTGACAACAGCCCCTTCATCATGCCAGGATATTGTGCCCCCTGCCCCGTGAAAATGCCGAGGATGGAAGCCTTGTCTCCACTCGTAGTCTTACTATCATTACCGGTCGTAACCTTGAACTCCCGTGCAGCGACTGAGAGAGCGGCGGTTATGGATTCTTTCGTGTGTCCGGAGATAGAGTAACGAAGGGGCAATACGGATTGGTTGTGCAGAAGCGTCGAGACGAGATCCAAGACGTCTAATGAGGGGTTTTCGTTGATGTGATCCAGCATACTTTCCATCAACTTCTTCAGAGATTTCTCAGTCTTGGCTGAGAATACAATAGGCAAACCGAACGTAGAATCGTTGTCAGATATCATGTGTTGGTTTTCTTTCTCTGACGGCTTGTACTCTTCAACGATGATGTGAGCATTTGTGCCTCCAAAGCCTGCCCCGACGGTCAGCCTTGATACAACAGTGCTGCAGTTTAGTCTAGCAATGACTCACCGAACGAATTCACACTCGCTCTACGCGGTAGACCAGGCTTAATTGCTGGCCATGACTGTGGCTCTCGGAGAATGCGGAGGTTCTGGTAAAACGGTGCAATGCGAGGGTTAAGATTCTCGAAAAGCATATTCGGTGGGATGACGCCATGCTGAACAGCCAGGGAGGCTTTCAGAAGACCGGCAAGACCAGCAGTTCCCTCGGTATGGCCTATAATAGTTTTCACACTACCGACAGCCAGGGGCTCTTCATCGCTAAGTTCAGCGCCGGCGAAAAAGGCAGATGAGATTGCTTCTGCTTCTTGAGGATCACCAGCTGGGGTACCAGTTCCTATCGCCAAAATGTCAGATCGTTGGATAAGATCTTGTTCGGCTAGACCTTGCGCCCCGGCTTTTTAAAATCCACTTACCATGAGCTTCGAAGAATTGACACCTGTCTTCAGGGTTGGATATGTCAAGACCAGCTTTGGCATAGGTTTCCCGAATGAGCGTCTCTTGGGAGAGATGGCTGGGCATAGTGATGCCAGTCGTACGGCCATCCTGGTTGACACCTGTTTCCCGGATAATGCACTCGATGGTATCACCATCTTTAAGGGCCTGGCTAAGTGTCTTCAGAACTACTGAGCAGATGCCTTCCTATTTGCACGATACTGTTAGCACTAGATGAAAGTACGAATGAGAGAGGTTTGGAGGTGAGGACATACCCCACGAGCATACCCATCGGCTTCGGCATCCCACATGCGCGACCGACCTGTAGGAGAAAGCATCTTCAGTTTGCTCTCAGAAACGTATGACACTGTTTCTTATTAGCGTTGGTTACAAGAACAGTTCAAAAACTGTACCAGGTGATAATATGAGGTTTGCTCCGGCGGCGATCGCCACTGTGCTAGAACCACTTCGCAACTGTTGAACAGCCTCATGTACGGCCACAAGGGAAGAGCTGCACGCGGTGTCGATTGTCATCTGTATGTCCAATTAGTTTCTTATAAAAAAAGACTTGCATTGTTCGGGCAGCATACACTTGGGCCATGCCAGTCGAAAAAGTATGACAAACGATTGGAGATGATACTGGCAGCGGCTCCTGTTACGAGGTATGTACCAGTGGTCTGCAGATCATGGTATTTCGTGACCTCAAAGTCATGGGTCATTAGCCCAACATATACTGCGGTATTTGATCCTTTCAGCTCTTGCAACCGCAGGCCTGCAGAGCTCAGGGCTTCATATGTGATCTCAAGCAACAACCGCTGCTGGGGATCCATACTCTCAGCTTCTACAGGCTGTATATTGAAGAAAGAGGCATCGAAAGACCGCAGATCATCATTCAGAAAGTACCCATGACGTGCGTTAGTTCGCCCCGGATACGAACCGTCAGGATGGTAAAATGAGTCAATGTTGAATCTATCTTTTGGAACTTCGGACTGTAGGTCTTTTGGTTCCAGGAGAAGTTTCCAGAGTTTTGACGGAGTGTCGACCTTGCCAGGAAACCGGCACGCACTCCCAATGACGGCGATAGGTTCAGCAGGATTCATTGTCGATGTTGGTAATTCGATATCTCAGGTGATAGCATAAGCTTTTCCACCTAATCCTCGCGGCGTAACAGGAACAGCGTTTACTACGTTTGTAGATGAAGAAAAAGAGTAAAATATCTTAGAAGAATTGTTTCCCTTTGTTCTGGATTAAAGCCCAAGCATCTATTTAATTGGGAAAAATTGTAACGCTAGAGACCCTTGCTCTGATGGCTTATTGTCGGCCTTTTGGTGATGATTTGTTCTCCCCTTAGAGAAAGCGGGGGGCTATGCGGCGACAAAGAGTTTTGCGAGGTTCAGGATATAGAAAAAGTAGTAGGTTTAGAGTATAATAATAATGTTAAATATAGGTAGTATAATACGTAATTTAGTTAAGATTAGTAAGCTAAAAGGCTAAGAGCGCTACTAATAGTAACTAAAAGATAAGTGTGATTATATAGTAGTAGAAGCTATAGGCTTAATAGATAAAATCTAGTAAAGAGGACCTATCTATCTCTATCTCTATCTCTATTAATTTAAATAATAAGCCCCCTATAATTCAGACAAGTAATATAGTTATTAGTATTTAGTATAAGGTTAGAACTGTTAAATATAACAGTCTCTCTCTTTATCTACTTCTAGATAGATATTATACTAATATCAACTCTAAGTATGTTAAAGTTAAAGAAGGAATATAGAGAAAACTATAGTTAGTATACTTAAGAAACTTTGAATATAAAAGTGTACATAGTGATATTATAAGCAATTTTAGATTTCCTAGGTAGAGCTATATTACCTATCTAGAATTTTGAGATTTGTAATACCCCTAACTCGTAATTAAAAATTAATACAGTAGGGTGACAAAAACAAAACAGCATTAAAAAAGCTATCTGTTGGAAGGTCTATAGCACTAGTGCTGAAAGGAAATAACGATAACTAGGAATGCATTCTGTTCGGTGATGGTGATTGATTGTCTACGAACATAGCTGCTACGAAGGTATACCTAAGCTCTGCGCAAGGTGGGCCGAAGTCGGGCCGAAGTGTCCAGCAGCCGACGTCTCTACCGATACTCACGATCCGACACTGGAAGTCTTTTCTTTCTGGGTAGCTAGTAACTCTGCTTGTATCGGTAGTGACAGTATGTGTTGATGGTAACTGTGTGTAGCATCAACCATCAAAGCTTGTCGGCCTCTGCACCCATCCCTCTACTTAGACTCCGCAACAATCAATTCAATCCGGTCACTCTCCTAGACCCACTTACCTATCTAGCTAGGCCTTAAACTCCTATAGGTACGTACTAGGCTTAAAGCGGCAATCAATCAATCAAATCTGAACCTTCTAGGACCCACTTAATTGATCCTCTACTCGGACTGTCAGCTTATTGCCGTCAATAAAGCGTTCAAGAGCGCGGTTTGGCGATGCCTTGGTGAAGGCGTCTGCAGGATTGTCTTCACCATTGATCCAGCGGATCTCCGTGATCTCGCGACGCTCATATGATTGGCGCAGCGCCATGATGTCAATCATGAGACGCTTTTCCTTCGTCGTCCCAAGCTTTACTAGGCACTCGTACAAGGAGTACGAGTCTGTACAGATAACCAAGGGAATTGCAGGTAGTCTAAGTCGTTCTGTAACTATCCTCAGCGTGGTTGCAACTGCAATGCCTATGTCAAAGCCGTTGACCATGCCGTAGATCTCTGAGGCCAGTACGCTCCGTGTGATGCGCTTGCATTTTGTAGAGCTGTAGTGGATCACGTTGCCCTGTATTGTGAAGGTGTTGACGTCAATAGACTCGTTGACGAGCATAAGGACAAAGCCTAGCTGTGAGCTGAGGTCCTTGTTGTTGGCAAAGGAGCCATCCACAAAGACCATCAACTTGGCCTCCATAAGATTGACAGTGACGTAGTGCAGGCCACGATCGAGATTCTCCATCTGCCATTTCAGGCGTTTGTTGAGTGCCTTGATGTCCTCGTCTGATGGTTGCTGAGCTTGAGCAGCGACGGACAGGTCAAATGACGCCTCTGGTTGGCATGTTGATGCGATGTACGCTCCGCGGGCGCGCTGCTCGGTGTACTGTTGCGCGCGGTCGGGTGCCCTGATATCCACAAGCCTGATCCTTCCTCCTTGTCCTTTCTGCCTAAGGGTCAAGACTCTGCTGGCGTCCATCGTGAGTGTACATCCATTGAAGTCTAACTGCACTTCTGGTGTCAGCCTTGCTTTTGGCTTTGACCTGAACTCTGCCTTCTGGATCTTCTTCTCTTCACGTGACGAGAACGCTGGTGTCCCGAGCATGAGAGTGTCGTCTGTCTGCATGCCAACGATGCCGAAGATGCCTGCGTCGTCTCTGTTCGTGATCAATAGGCATGGGTCGTACGTCGATGTTGCCATGTCCAGTTCCTTGCAATGGTGTCCGTGATACGTTGTCCACCAGTGGACTCCTGCCTCAGCGATTCCATACAGCGGCTTGATCACATGGAGTAGCGTGCCTTCTGGATATCGATGGACTAGCTCAGTAGGAAGATGTGCGAGTATCGTCCTCTTCAGGGCTGTCTGCGCCTGGGGATACGCCTGCGTAATGTCACGGAGCTCGATGTTCATTCCGCGTTGTACCATCTCGGGCGCCAGCGACATAATCAGGCGCTGGCTACATCGCTGTATGGTTGGAGATTGCGTCAGAATAGTCTCCTTGCCGTGGTCCTGGTAGCCTTGGATAACTAGGCGGGATTTCTCATAGGGCTTGGTTGTCTTTCCCTTGACCTCACGTACTAGGCGTGACTTGAAGATCCGGATCTTGCTGTGTAGCCTCTCGTCGTATTGCTCAAATTTAAAGACTCCACGACCTACGAGGTCGCTGATCTCTTGGTCATCAGACGCTTCAAAGGGGGCGCCTGAGGTTGTGATCACTCCATCGTTACGTAGCTTGATAGCTAGCTCAAGATCGTCCTGCTCCTTCTTGGTGATGTACGCGTGCGCCTTCCGCTTGTTCTTTGACCCTGGAGGGCGGCCTCTCCTGCGTGGTTGCACTGCCGGTGGTACTGCTACCGGCTCATGCGGCTCATTCGGCGCGTGTGGCGCATCGGGGTCGCTCCAAAGGTGGTCTGGTCTGTAGTATGGCTTGACGACAGTGGATCTGAATGTCGTTGGACCATTGACCATGTCAACAGTGACGTTGTGGCCATCTGTACTGGCGATCTTGTACGGGCCATTCCAGCCATCGCTCTCTCTCCATACTAAGACTTCGCTCTGGAGTGGGAGCGCGAGCATGTCTGCAGTGGCTGGTCCATTGCGGGTGTTCAAGGCGTCTGCAACTTGGTGCTCTGCCGTGATCTTGCGTAGGGCTTTCGTCGCCTTTTGAATAGCCTCGCTGCGCTTGACCATTGACGGGGATGGCGGTGACTCTGCAGTCATTCGTGGGTACGCTCCAAAGACCAGTAGCGTCGGGACTAGTCCATCGGGGCCAGCAGTATCGTTGACAGCCTTCACAGCCATCTGGAGAATCGCGTCGTCGGACATAGTGTCAGTGAGTTCTGCATAGAGTATGTCCCATGCGCGGCGTAGAGGTGCATGGTACCTCTCAGTTTTGCCGATAGACCAGTGCGCCTCCGTAGGTACTTGCTTGCATGTGACTCCCATGATCTTTGCTTCTGCGCGGAACTCTGTGCTTGCAAAGTTAGTGCCTGCGTCATGCGTGATAATGTCTGGTGGTCCTTGATACGTGTCGATCCATAGTATCCGCAGTGCTTGCCATGTTTCTTTAGCTGAGATAGCGCTAAGGAACCTCGCGCCTTGAAACGCTGTTGAGGAATCGACCACATGCAGTACAGGTTTGTTGCTCAGGTACATCACATCCACCAGGATCTCATAGTTGAAGTGGTGATCATCCTTGAGAGTGAATTTGAATCGGCGCGGTGCGGAGCTGTGGAGCTGGCAGTGGTGGCAGAACTTAGTGACTTCTTCTAGGGTTCTTTCTTCGAAGTCGTTATGGCCAGCATCCTTTAAGAGCTTAACAAGTCGCGTGACAGCTGGGTGTCCAAATCGTCGATGGAGCCGTCGCAACTCTGTCTCTGTCAGGAACACAGTTGCTCTCTCTCTTTTGTTCAGATGGAACCAAGGATGTCCCCATTTGCGAATTACAGGGATGTGTACGTCACCCTGGACTAGCTCATCTGTGGTGTTGTTAAAGTAGACCTTTAACCTGTCCATGTCTGCAAGGCACAATAAGAATGGTGTAGGTGCGTCAAGCACCTCAAAGTTGATCGTCCCAATGTCTGTAGAGACCTGTGCAGTGCCAATAGATGATGTAGCCTCGCCCTTGCCGAATTTGATAGATGCCTTTCCTGCTGTAGACGTATCCATCCTAACTGTAGGATCTTCCCTTGTGAGTGCAAGGTACTGCTCCTTGCCAACTGTGGATACGTTGGCAGCGCCTGTATCCGGTAGGATCCCTTGGTACACAGATCTTGTGTAGCGGTCTTCAAGCAGGAACTGTGACGCTGGCGCTGATGGCGCGTCTTGGCGGTATACGTCGTCGCCAGAGATGTGGTGCAAGAACGCCTGATCTGCAAGGCATTGCTCCGTGAAAAACTGCTGTTCAAGGTATGCTTCCGCGACGTCGTCATCGTCGTCATCCTCGCAGTCTTCCTCCTCTCTCCAGCCTCTCTGATTGTACTGGCTAGTGTGCTCGATCCCTTCGTATTCTGCAAGATGTACGGAGAAGTCCTTGGGGGGCTGTGTACCTGTAAAGTATAGCGTAGAGAAGAACTGTGTACGGGCAGCCTTGCGCTCTTCGTCTGTGTGGTTGGTAGACCAGCATCCTTCCTTCTGGCAAACAAAG